ACTATATATATTGGACAAGGGAGTAAGTAACAGGAAAAAACATTAAACAAGTGAAAGACTAAAATTCCTTACCTCCTGTTGTTCCATGTATTCCCTGTGTCGCCGAGCTGCCTCATGCCTCCATAACTTTAGGCAAACCAAAGCACTAATGAGATAAACGATCATGGTGACAAACAGGAAGATCATCGCTGCTATCTGTCCTCCTTCTACCCGGCAGAACACTGCATTCATGGGCGTATTAAATAATGGATAGTAGCAGAGTCCACCTCGGTTGGTATCATTCACATAGACTATGGCTGCGGCCATATACAAAATAAACAATGCAACGTTAATTCCAAATTCAGTTAGGGGCCACCAATTAGAGTCCAAAAGAATGGTCCGATAATACATGGACATGCCAAGAACCAGAATGATAATGGTAGTGATCCATGCTAATCCAGCAACCACAAGTACAAAAGGGGTTTTGGGGCCACTGTAGTAATAGCCCCCGTACATACTGCCAAGACCACCAATGCCTCCTGCGCCATAGGGCTGTGAATATCCAAACAAGTTATACCACTCGCTGTCCTTGTGAATGTAAGCTGTGACACATGCGAAGACGCCGGCCCCCAAAAGCAGCTCTACCACACCCAGAATCCGCAGCAGGCCTGCCCACGACTTCATGTAGGAATAGCGCAGGTTATATTCCTCCACCTTCTCGCTGTATGTGCGGGCCGTTTGTGTGTGTCGGCCTAGAGATCCATAGGGATCCTGGGAAAACATTGCCTCAGCCTCTTCCTGGGAATTCAAGGGTCCTTCTGACCCTCCATAAGTATCTCTGCAGGAGTTTGGGGTTGAACAGTGGTTTGCTCTTGCTGGAGAGGCTGGAGGTGAACACTCCACTCCATCGGAGATGTATCTGATGTCAGACACTGGCTTTTCCCATTCAGGGTCCTTTTTCTTCCCTCTGAAGAAGTTCTTCCAGGACTCAGGGACAAAGCGCCTTATGGGTTTGAGATCTGGTGCTACGGCGGGTTCCTCTGTGTCACTTGAGTAGAAGTCTGGGCCGAATGGCGGCTGTAATGGGAGAGGAGGTGGTGGCAAAGGATCAGCACTCACAGCCAGCTCACCGTCGTGAAGAGTCTGGAGGGTTCTTACGGTGCTATCTTGACAAGGCAAGTCCCCTGGGACCTCATCGTAGTGCCTGTCCCGATTCCTGGATCCTCCATTATTTGACGACATTTGTGATTTTTACACCTGTGGCCAAGGTTAAAGTTATCACTTAGGCTAAGTTATTCATTCTTTCAACGGTGCTGATTTTATTCACTTAGTAGCAAGTGATCATATTTAGGAAACTAACATGACCATGTCCAATTATTATGCTATATAGAAATGACAACATAAATATGTGTATTTTAAACATATGGAACAATTATTTTAGCCAGGGATACAGTCACTGTTCTATGTGATTTTAAGGGCAATTGAAATTTTAAATCTTAACTCTGAATTAAAACATAAGTTCAATATACCTATGAGCCCATAAACAACAAAATGTAAAAACTAAAAATGAGACTAAATTTTAGTAATACAGGACGCTAACACATTCCAAGTGGAGCACTTTCCTCAAACATTTAAATCAAAATATGTAAGAGCTTGAGACATCAAACTCTGATGTCTCAGCAAATACTTTTATTACCTGGAATCTGCTCTGGAATGGCCCAGGGGAAGCAGTCTGCTAAACACGGGGAGTGAAGAGCCCTTTTCCTACTTAAAACAGGGAATTCAGTTTAGGGGGGTGCTTCTTCCACTCTAAAATACTAACAACTGGATGCTAGATTTAAAAAACTGAATTCTCAGAGAAAAAAAAAAGTCACCAAAAGTTAAGATTCTCAGAAGTACAACACAGAGCAGCAGCAATGGCCGCGTTTATCACTCTTTCCAGAGCAATTATCTAAAGGTGATTTGCTGTCACCATGGAGACAATTTATCTTAGAAGAGGTTTGATTCACCTAAAAAATGAAGCATAGAAGGGCACTTTTACTAAACCTGTTGGATGTTCTTCATGACATCAGTGACCTGAACACATATACGGAAAGAAGGAAACTATTTGCTAATGTAACTAGTAGGCTTAAGGCACACTGAAAATTTCCCCCTCATATTGCTTATCAGTAAGTATTTATTGAAGACTCACTGGGCACATGGCATTGTAGGTGGCACTATGAAGGCCTCAAAATTTAGGTGATAATCCCACCTTTATAATGTTGAATAATTTAGAAACTCCTAATACTCTGTTTTTTTTCCTTTGTGAAATGGAGATCTACACTCAACAAACATTGATGGAGCACTTGCAGCGCACCAGATGTGCTGAAGGGGTGTCAGTGAACAAGCAGCGGAAATCCCTGCCTTCATGGAGCTTAAATGCCAGTGAGAGTGGGGTGTGGGGGGTGACAGATGATGGGTAAGGTAAGTGAAATATACCAGATGCAAAGGAACAAAGTTATGAGAGAGAGGTGAAAGGAGTGCACTGTGGGCAGGGCATTACAATGTCAAACAGAATGACCTGGGAAGTCTTCCTAGAGAACATGACATCTGAATATAGAAATGAAGAAGGAGGCAGCCAGGCAGGTATCTAGTGCAAAAGCCTTGAGGCAGGAGTGCCTGGCATGTTCAAGAACCATTAAGGCAGACAGACCAATGTGGCAGCAGCAGAAAGGGTGAGCAGTAGAACTGAGACCATGTGAATCATTAGGACCTTGTAAACCACTGGGAAGGGTTTTCGCTTTTCCTGGGAGTGAGGTGAAAAGCCATTGGAGGACTGAGAGTAGAGGACTGACATGATCTGACTTGTTTTAACAGCAATACTCTGGATGCTGTGTTGAGACATGGAGACATGGAGAAGAGGTGGTAGTAGTGGTTGGAGGAGGCTAGCTAGGAGGCGATTGAATTAATCCAATGGACCATGGTAGTAGCAATGGAGCTAACAAGATAAGGACAAATTCTAGATACAGGGAATTGAAATTTTTAAATTAATTTTTGAGTGTAAAAAGTGGAAAGGATAGTAACACAAACCCTTAGGTTACCCAACAACCAGCTTAAATAAGAATCAATTTATGACCAATTATCAATTATTAGTTTTCACTTATACCCCTTGCCTTCCTCCCTCTGCCAACACATTACTTTCATAGGAGAGCAAATGCTAGATATCAGAGATCCTTTCACCTGCAACATTTCTCCACCCCTCCAGTTTAGCCCTGGAGACAAGCAGCCTTAGGAGTTTGAGATACCTGCTGGAAATCCAGGTGATGCCAAGTAGGCACTCTACATGAAAAAGGTATGTACCGCCACAGACTAGATACACTCACCCAGGGAAGCGGTGGAGATGGAGAAGAGGCATATGTTGCAGGTCTAATGGGGCACTCCAGTTTTAGAGAATGAACTGATAGTCCCAGCATGGTGCCCAAAGTAAAGTGGCTCTATAAATGATAGCGATTAGCAGTTATTTTTGTCTCTTTGCCCTTTGTTTAAAAAGTTTAAATTCTAGAAATGCACATTACTATAGTTTTGAAATACATTTTCGTAAGAAAAGGAGCACAAGCACCACAAGTAAACTTCAGCATGTTTTACATAAGCTCTCTTACTATCTATGACATCTCTCAATATCTAATAAATACTATATATTTAAAGGATACCCCATTGCTTAATTTAAGTTATGGTGAAAAAGTGGGCTTATCTTTATCTGTGAAAAGTGGCTTATTTGAATTAGACCACCTTATCCACGTCTAAATAAAAAGCACAAAATATAAACTTGAATTACGGAATAGCAATGTTTTAGAAGGGAATGATCAGCTCTATTTTTATCACATCTTAACTATCTGGACACCCTCCTATCTTTCAGGGCGTCACTGAGAAATCACCTAGATTCAGCTCGCGGAGGCACAGTGAGTCTTTGTTCTGTTCGGGACCCTGGCTGCAGCCCGTGGAACACGTATCCGGGAACGCCGTACCTGTGGAGGGAGGAGAAACGGTGCCCCCAGCAGTGTCACAGCAACCGAGAGTGATCACCTTCACATGAACAGAATCACCGCCCTACCAGGCCTTCAGGTTTTGTTAAGCCCAAGAAAGGGGCAGATTTCGGACGTTTCTAGGCTTCCAGGGGTTTGGAAACTCTGAGGGTTTCAGCTTAACCCACGAGTGAGCGCCACGGAATACGGAGCATCTTCCCTGGGGCTCTCCCGAGTCCCCCGCTCGCCGCCTGGCCCCACAAATCTCGTTCAGTCCTCCGCTCTGCCCACGCCCGGTGTGTTCAGTCTTCGCGTTTCGGAGCGAAAATCCACTCTAGACTTTTCAGATCCCGGCCCAAAGTGGCCGGAACTAGGTCGGGACAGACAGGAACCCGGGGCCCCGCAGGACAGCGGCTTCGCGACCGGCGGGGCCTGTCTCGCCGCGCACCTGTGTCCCCCGAACGTGGCCAGGCTGGGCGAGGGGCCCTCCCGCCGCCCAGGCCCCGTTCTCCCGGGAGCCCTCACCCCTTGCCGCACCGGGGCCGGGCCTCGGCGGCAGCGTGTGCCGCGGCTGAGCGGCGTGCCCGCGGCCCCGTAGGCTCCTACGGCCCCCTCCGCTCCCGCCCACCTGGCCCGGGAGCCAGGCCCCTCCGCGCCCGAGGCGTGCTCACCTGCGCGGCCGCCGGGAGGAGCGCGCACGCAGCGCCGACACCGGGATCGGGCCCCCGGGGCGGGGCCGGGTGAGTTTGCCCCGCCCGGCTCTGCCCCGCAGTCTCCAGCCCCCGACTGCCCCCACCTCCTCGCCTCCCTCGCAGCTACGGTGACCGAGCAGGCTCCGCACAGGGAGCTGTGGAAAGGGAAATAAGGGTGTGACTGAAATCTCATTGCTCGCTGCCATCATCTTCCTTCCCTATTTTTTGAAGAGTTTGGCACTGGATGAAGGGGATTTCATGTACTATGCCCAGTGATAATACACGGCAGGCTGTACATGTTAGGAAATATTAAAATGAGAAACAAAAATTAATTCAACGTTTTAATTTCGATATAAATATGTAAATACTTTCCAAAAAAATACCTAAAATATTCCACTGTACAACATAAAAATGGCATCTGAGAAGCTGGAGACCATAGAGAAACTGAGTAAGGCACAAAGTTTATTTACACTCATAGTTGCATACTGAACTTTTATAATTCATATTCACAACCCCATAAAGTTTCTGTATTCTGAATTATTCCTTCACATTTTCTGATGTTGGGCATAATGTCCAAGCATGCTTCATACACACTGACCTTCACTTCCAACACCACTCTCAAGACTAAATAAATACTAAAGAAAAAAATTAAGATATATTTGAAGGCTTGATCTTCTATTTACTTCAAGATGACAGAAGAGTCAATTCCTCGTGCTTAAGTATTAAAAGTGTGAAGAATTAGGCTGTAATTCTCTTGAAAGCATATAATCTCTGTTCAAGTACCACTGAATAAAACTAGCGGGGTGCTGTCAGGTAGCAATGTGACTGGTGGGCTGGTGTCTATGTCCCATCGCTCTCATAGTCTTCTATTGTCATGTCTTCTTCTTCCATGTCTTCCTGGGCTGAAAAGGGCTGCGGCTGACTGGCTGGCAGTTCATTCCCACTATTCTGACTCAAAGGAAGGGAACAGGTTCCCGGTTCAGCGGTTTGAGTAGGTTCACTCATAGCTTCCTCTGCAGGCTGCCCTTCATTAAACTGCGCTTCATCTCCACTGTCTGGGTCTATTATTCCATGCTCCCAGTCAGTCAGGGCTTCCATGTGCAATCTGCCAGATTCATAATGCAGGCATTAATAATAACCAAAGGAGGGGATTCCTTTAAACTCACATGAGAGTGATGATTATGAAACCATCTCCTCTAGTCTCTCATTTACCATCAGTGTGCTCACTGTTTAGCCAGGTCCTTTGGTTTATTTGACAATATAAACAAAGTACAAGGGAAATGACAAACTATGAATAAATCACTACGCCTTACAAGTGAGTTGATGAATGTCTTAGTAGACGTTCATACAAATTAAAAAGTACATTAAAAAGAAAAGAAATAAACAGAAAAATAGGCATTAAATATGAACAACTTATAGAAAAATTACAAATAAATTATTCAACCCAATTTGAAATTTTAAAAATGGAAATTAAAATAATGAGCTACTATTATCTTTTAAACTAGCAAACACCTTTTAAAATAATAAAAACCAGTGGTGGCAAGAGTTAGGAGAAAAGAACACACTGATACATTGTAAGTGGGCATAAAATTGGTGAGATATTCATGAAAGTAATCTCATAAAATAGACAAAGACCTCAAAAAGGTGTGTAAACATTGATCCAGCAATATCTAGGAATTCATCCTACATAAATAGTACATGCTATGCATGATGATTTAGCTACAAGGAAGGCTGTAGTAATAAAAAGTTGGAAATAAGCTAACTGTACAAAAATAAGGTGTAGGTTTAATCATAGGAAACTGTGAAGCTATTAAATATTAACATTGAATATTAAGCTAAATATTAACGTTCAATACTATCAATAGGGTCAAAGATAATGTCGAATATGGTTTTCATAAAGGAAAGATAACAGTCTCTGTAATAAGCATTAACATATCTGCCTCCCAAGTCGTATCAAGTGGCTGAACCAATAATAGTGGTTAAAACATGGTTTAAAAGGGTTAAAAAAGCCCTTTTCAAATCCTTTAAAAATGCCTGAGTGCATAATTTGACCTTACAAATAAGCTAAGTAGAAATACAGGTGTTGTGTTAATCACTGATATTATCCCAGAAGCCATTTTGCAATAAAATTAGTATAAAGATTTACGTCTATTTTTTCATTTGCCTGAATTTTCTATGATAAGGAAATAAAAAACGTGGTGCTTCTGATAGTTCCTGACCGTTGCAGGTTTCAAACGTAGGCTAAGAACACCTCTTGGCAGGAAAGCTGAAAAGAGGTTTCCAGATATCTAAGATTTGTTGAACTAGAGAATCTGAAGATACCTCTGTCTTTGTGATTCCATGATTCTATTTAGTCTGATACTCCATTGTGAGTTCGTGAAAATACACTGTTACATGTAACAAAATGATAGGTTTACAATGCAGTCATATGGTCTTTAATCACTGGGTTAAATGTATGTATGGATTTTACAAATAACATTGATTGTATACTGAATAAATAGATAATACAGTCAGCAGACATTTCAGTAACAGCTCTTTGAAAATTAAAATGATCAAACTTACCTTCCAAAGTGTCGCTTCAGAGGAAGCCTTCCAATATCTTGGATAAAAGAAATCTGAGCTGAAACAGAGATTTTAAAACAGCTTTAAACAGACATTTCTCCAAAGAAGATAAATAATGGCCAATCAACACATAAAAGTTGCTCAAAATCACCAATCATCAGGAAAATACAAACCAAAACCAATGTGCACCCCTTAGGATAACTACTAAAAACAAAACCCCTCCAAAAAAAATCAGACACACAAAACAAAAAGGTTTGGCAAGAATGTGGAGAAATTGGAACCCTTGTTCCAATTATATTGCTGATGGGAAATATAACATGGTGTAGCTGCTATGGAAAAGAGTAAAGCAGTTCCTCAAAAGTTAAAAACAGGATTACTATAGGACCCAGCAACTCCACTTCTGAGTACACACCCAAAAGGACTGACAGCAGGACCTCAAAGAGTTATTTGTACACTCATGTTCACAGCATTACTCACAACAGCCAAAATGTGGAAACAACGGTCTGACAGATGAATGGGTAAACAAAACATGGTATACATATAAAATGAAGTATTTTCAACCCTAACAAGGAAATTCTGACACATACTATAACATGGATACACCTTGATGACAAACCAAGAGAAATAAGACACTCACAAAAAGACAAGTATTGTATGAATCCCCTTATGTGAGGTACCTAGAGTAGTCAAATTCATAGATAGGAGGCAGGTGGTGGTGGTGGTGTTGGGAGGTGAGAGTTGGTGTTCAGTGTGTGTAGTCTCAATTTCAGAAGATGACAAATTTCTGAAGACTAGTTGCACAACAAGGTGAATATACTTAGCACTACTGATCTATATACTTTAAAATGGTTTAACATCATAAATTTTATGTACTGAGAAAATATATTCAAAAAAATCTAACAGCGAGAGTCTGTGGCATATTAGGCATGACCTGCTCCTTTCCTTCTTCAGTTTCAGGGAGACTGTATTCCACTTGAGTGCAGCCAAGAACATACGGCTCCCTCCTGGTGAGTGTGGCCAGCCAAGAGTTTGAGGCTCCCTATCTCAACCCATCCTCCATCCACAACATGGAAGCTCTACCCCAGTGGCATAGCAGACTAAAAATACTGCTTCCTCCTCGAACTGCAATGGCCATAGCCCCTCCCCATTTGTAGAGCAGAGGGTCCATACTAGGAGAGAACAAGCTAAACTGAGACTACCTCCAGTTGAGCACCCTTTGAGAATAGCGGCTCAGAGATTTTTGCCGAGGGCAAAGAGGCATTCCACAGGAAAAGAGAGTTTAGAAGTTGTACCCAAAGGAACCAACTTTACTTGAAACACGGTAAGGGGAAGCTCAAACTTAAGGGCCCTCTTGAAATCAATGGTTCCTTTTAAGTAACAGCTTTGCTAAACATCAGCCAGCTAGTGTTCATCAGCAAGAACCAGAAAGAGACAACTGAGAAGTCTTCCTTGGATCAGAACAAACCAAACTGAAGGAAAGCCTACAAGGTAACTGTCCTTTATGCTTCAAAAATGTCATGGATGAAAAAGACTAAGATACTGCTCAGATCAAAGTAGACTAGAGAGACACGGCAAATGAATAACCAAATATATCATGACCTTGCACTGGATTCTGGACAAGAAAGAACAAGTTTTTGTTATTTTACAAAGAACATTATTAGGACAACTGGCAAAATTTGCATTGAGTCTATAAATTAGATGGTAGTAGTGTATCAATACTAATTTTCTGATTTTGATGTTTATACTGTCATTACATATGAGAATGTTCTTGTCTTCACAAGTACAGCTTAAGTGTTTAAAAATGGGCATCATGTGTTTAATTTACTTAAATATAGTTCAGAAAAAACATGTATGTGTGTACGTGCATGTATGAAGAGAGACAAAGAGAAAAAAAAATACACTAAAAATTGATCAATTTGGAAACCTGGTTAAAAATACACAAGAATTCTTCTGTACCATTCTTGCAACTTTTAAAGTTAAAAAAAATTAGTATAATCTTTACTCTTAAAAGCCACAGATGAAACTGATTGAAAGAAAGCAGACATTTGCTATCCTAAGTTCATAAAAAGACCAGCTTCACTAGACATAAATTGTGAAAGTGTGTACTGCCACAGTTATGTTAATTTCTTTAGCATTATTTATAATCTCAAAACTTGGACCAGTTCCAGTATTAGCGGATATTGCTTGTAATACTGAAATCAACTAAAATTACCCATCAATAAGGTTAAATAAAAACACAAATTTGAAAAAATATGAGTTATGTTTTAATGTTTAATGATGCCATCTGGGATCCAGACTCACTTCTGCTCTTCCGCTTTTTGAAGCATCTATAATAGTGCTTGGCACTATATAGGTGTTCAGTAAATGTATGTTGAATGAAAGAATCAATGTGTTAATCATTACCCTGAAGCTTATTACCTAATAGCTATAAGACTAGCCTAATGACCTGCAGATTCATGTTCCCAGCATGAAGAACAGAGCAGAAAGGAGTGTGATGCCTATATCAAAAACACCAGAAACCCTCGGCTTTCATTTGCATCGGACTGACTCATTTGGCCACCTGATTGCAAGGGAATTTGGAAAGTATTTTTAGCTAGGCACATTATCACCCTGAAAAAAGAAACAAAACAGTTCCTTACTCAAGACAAAGAGAATAGGTACTGCATCCCTCTGTGTAGAAGGCAAAATAAGTTAGGGCCCCAGGATGAGTAAGAAAAGGCACCATCTCTAAGAAGACTGAAGTTAACAAGGAGATAGAAGTAGAACACAGCCGTAATACAGGGAAGAGTATGACAGTGATCATGCACGTAGTTCAGACAAAGTGCTCTGGGAAATCAAAGGCAGAAAAGACATCTATTAAGGAGAACTGAATGCCTTTGTAGAATAAAACTTTTGAGGTTTTAAAGATGCCTAAGATTGTTCACAAGCAGCAAATGCACAATAGTATATTCTCACCGGAAAAATACCAGCCAAAGCAATTAGGCAATATCTGGTGCCTGAGGGACAGTAAATGAGGACTGCAGTCTCTCCAAATCAGGGTCTATTTGGAGATAAAGCTAGAAACATAAATTTGGATATCACAGGGGCATTGAATGCTGGGTAAAGAATTCAAACTTAATTCAATTGACAAATGAGACAATGAAGGATTTGGGGCAAAGAAATGACAAGACAGATGTGGTACTTTTTCTCCACTTTATTGAGATATAATTGTATGATACTGTGATTTATAATAGGAAATATGTGTTTGGTCTTTATGCCCATTTCTGGCACAAAGCTCCTAAAACTCTTCAAATTTCCTAAGCAGTGAGAGTGGCAAAGATGTCTTTTGTTATGTTAATGATGCAACTTCTAGCAGCACCCAAGGATGTGTGCCCATTGCCAGGAAGACCAGCCATGTGATTAGAGAGTTGGACCTCTCAGTCTGGCTCCCCTGACCTCCAGGGATGGGAGAGGGGCTGGGGGCTGAACCAACTATCAATGGCCAATGACTTATCAGTCATGACTATGCAATAATGCCTCCATAAAAACTCAATAGGAATGGGTTCAGAGAGCTTCTGGGTTGGTGAGCACTTGGAGATGCTGGGAGAGTGGCACCTAGAGAGGGCATGGAAGCTCCGGGCCCTTCTCCATACCTTGTCCTGTGCATGTATTCCATCTGGCTGTTCACTGAATTATATCCTTTTATAATAAACTGGTTATTAGTAAGTAAAAAAATATATATATATGAGTTATATTTGAATATACTTTAGCATTGCTGCTGTAATGGACTATATGTGTCACCTCAAATTCATTATTTTGAAACCCTGATCCCCCAAGGCAATGGTTTTAGGAGGTGGAGCCTTGTGAGGATAATTAGGTCATGAGGGTGAAGCCCTCATGAATGGGATCAGAGTCCTTACAAAAGGAACCAAAACAGAGGTCTCTCGTGCTCTGCTCTGCACCATATGAGAATACAAGGACAAGATTGCTATCTGCACACTGGAAACAGTTACTCACCAGACACTGGATCTACTGATACCTTCACTTTGGACTTTCCAGCATCTTGAGCTGCTTGGGCAGTAATTTGTAAAATATGGGGTGCTATTCATCTTACTACACTGATAGACAGTGACTGCCTATCAGATGGATGGGGGGTGAGAACTTGATAATATGGGTGAATGCTGAAACCACAATGTTGTTCATGTGAAACCTTTATAAGATCGTGTATCAATGATACTTTAATAAAAATTAAAAATGTATGGGGCACTATTTATGGTTAGGTGACATAAGCTAATTACAATTTGTATCTATTATTTGTACATGAACAGAAAAAAGCCTGGAACAATTCACCGCCAATCTGTCAATAGGAATTACCTGAGGTTATAGAAGACTTTCAATTTTTTACTTTATATATCTTCTGTATCATTTGATTTTTTTTATCATGTTATCATTGATATACAATCTGATTTCTTTCTTTTTTAATCAAAAAGCATGTATTAATTCTGGGTCAAAAAATAAAGGGGAAAAACCCAAGTCTCACTAGTATATGGTAATTAGTCAACCAATAAAAAGGTAGTATTAAACACTACTTCTTAGGGAAAATAAAAACCCATGTTATTACCTTGATTTCTCATTGGAATGGTTAGCAAAGCAAGGTAGGGCAACAGCTGAGTCTGGAGGCACAAAGCTGGTAAGCAGAAGTCAGAAAACAGTGCTTTTGCTGCCAGGCAATTTTCCCGATACTGCAACAGAAGAAAAAAAAGATAAAGTAGAAAGTAAAATGAAAAATATGCATATGTATTCCCAGACAAACTAAGTTTACTGTATCACAAAGTATGTGAGTTTATATACTACAAATGTACTTTTAAGAGTTTATCTAATTAGTCCTTTAAAATGTCCCAGCATTATGTAATGAAGCATTTTAACTACACAACCACTTCACATTTGAAATCAGAGCAATATAAAAAAAAAAAAAGACTAAGATAGTAGGAAAGAAAACTTAACACAAGAAATCTGTTTATGAGCATACACACATCACAAATTATGTGAGGATATTGTTTCTCAATGAAAGAATTTATTTTCTTCAGTTGACATAGGCACAGTATTAGGCTGACGAGGAGAGAAACAATCTCTGCCTTCATGAAGCTTATAGACTTAGAGAGGTAATTCATAGGTAATTATAATGCAAAATAAATATATGTGCTATAAAGAGCAAATAAGTTAATAAGGGACATAAATAACTTAAAAGTCATGAAATTCTCCAAGAAATCTGTTGGAAAAACTTTCCTTTGGTAATGAATTATAGGCTCATACTTGGCCTAATGATTTTAAAACTGGAAGATTATCTTAAGAGATGACATAGTCCAGGAGGTCACAAATTCAGATGCTATAGGAGTCAGGCAGGTAGTATAAATCAGTGCAGTGGAATAGCTGGGAACAGTGGCACCCATCTTTAAGAGGCAGATATTATTCAGCTTGAGTAGATTGCTGCCATGTAAATATATGGACCAGTGTTACCATTCCCTTTTTAGGAGATT